AGAAATTTGACAGAGACATACACCTTAGAAGTTTTGATAGTGACGATATTTTTGTTGAGAAAGGTGATCTAGTCAGAATACGCTTAGATAATATAACAAAAGTTATAAAAAAGTCTTCACTTTGCTGGCTGTTAGACAATGAAAAGGATTGAGTCAGTGTGGATCGTCTCAAAAGATTTATTCAAAAAAGAAATGTAATAGTATTAGTCAGAAACAGATACCTGCCTTCAACATAAAGATGCATCTCAAATTCATAATGAAACTACCTCCACCTCAGGTACTCAGAAGAGGCAGTTTAGTTTTTGAAAAAAATTATTGAAAAAATATTTGATTTAATTCTAGTTTTTTTTTAAGTGATGTGATTAAAATTTGTGATAATGTAACCTCAACCTGGGTCGAGATTTCTACAAGTATATATCGTAGAGAATACTAAAGTAAGAAACTATGCAAAATTCTAGGTGCCCATGAACACTTTTAAAGGGGAAAATTACCTCTGAAAATTTATCAAGTGGGGTTATACACTCCTTTATTGTGCAAAAAAAATTCTTACGTGTTAAATTTTGCATTTCAAAAGTTTTTTTTTAAGGTGCTTCATTTGAAAGTTGTGAACAAAAAATTAAAAGTGTTATCATCTGTATTTATGGGTAGCTAGAATTTAGCACAGTTTTTTACTTCAACATCATCCACAATATAGGTATATACAAATCTCGACCCAGGTTATGGGATAAGTATTTTTTAAGAAGTTATTTTATTTTGTGATATTTTATTATGATCCAACAGAAATGCTTTACTTTTATGTTTAGAGTTACCGTTTTTTTAACATTTAATAATAAATATTATACACCAAGTGAATCAAACATACGTTTATTCACGAGAAGATGTTGATATCACGAGCACGCAGTGCGAGTGAGATCATTTCTTCGAGTGAATAAATATGTTTGATTCACGCGGTGTATATTAGTACATTATGGAACTAGTGGATGAAGTTGAATTTCAACGGCGAGAGTGATTTTTTCACACGAGCGAGTGCAACGAGCGAGTGCGAAAAAGAAACTCGAGCCGTTGAAATTTCTTCATCCGCGAGTTGCATATACTATTTTTTCTAAGAAATTAGGAAATAAATGTTTGTTTATGGTAGGTATTTTATTTTTGAAATACATTAACTGTAATTGTTTTGTACACTTCCCTGATTGATAATTGCAAAATAATCTTGAACTCTCTAAAGCGGGAGGACGGAGTGCAAAATACTTCCTGCACAGATCAAGATATTCAGCAGGAATAACAAATTTTCTCGAAGTTTTGTTTTTAGTATTTGGAAGTGTTATGATTATGTTTTCACCGTTTTCCATGTTATTTAATTTCAATCCATAAAGTTCATCGCAGCGGCAAGCACCCGAAATACCAATTACTAGTACCACCTATAACAAATTAGAAATTATTACTTATGTAGATCCACAATGTTTGAATTACTTTTGTCAATAAATAAACATGGTCCGGTGCTTCATTTATAAATTTTATGATTTGTTCTTTGGAGAAAGTGTTGGATTTTTTCGGGTGATACCCATCGGATTTTCTTTTCAGAAATGCTCGTAGGTTTAAATATTTCGAAATATCTATGTTGTTTTTATTTACAAGCATCGCCCTTAACATCGAATATTGTGCCCACAGTGTGGACGGTTTCTTGTCTTTAGCTAACTCCCCAAAATATGCACCAAAAACGTCTTCATTAAATGAACGGCATTGTTTTCTCTCTCTCCACTTCATAAATTTTCGGTATGTTAGCTCATAAAACTTTTTAGACTTTTCGGGTATCAGATTCGAAAATGCCGCATTGGCAGCATTCAAAATTTCTTCAGAAACTTCGTCAGTCTCACTCATGTTCATTGTTTTCACTTGTGTAAACTAGCAGTATTAAACGTCAAACACTAACGGGTCGTCCAGCCTAGGCGTCATGATTTTCGAAGCGCGCGAAGCGGACGGTGCGGTCGGTGCAGGCGATACGATAAAATGTTTTATCTACAACTGCTTTATAAAGGCCATATTACACAACTCATTCGGCACTGTTTGAGTTGAGTAATAAACCCTCTTATTCCACTAGTGGTGTAATAGAAAGATTACACCACTAGTGGTGTAATGAAGGTCTCCACTTCTTAGTTGAATTTTATTAACATGTAAATTACAACAAATTACATTGATTAATTCTTAACTTATTTGTTATACACGTCGATAATACATTCCTTACAATTACTGATATTAATACCAGATGAAATGAAATGATTTGTATCTTTGTCCATAATGCTTAGGTTTTGTTGACAAAATGTTTGTTACAGCTCCAGTATTTAAGATTTCTCTTCTAACAATGCTTGAATCTCGGTTGTACCTACTGGCAGTATTTGTTCTGGCTCCAGGATCACCTCCAAGAATATCAGAAGCGGTCTTTTTCTTGTTTTCAATCGAAGTGTCGATATAACCTTCACATACAGCCCAAAGGCTGCTGCACTTATAACTTTTCGACAAATCTTCAAAAAATGCCAACAGCACCTTCTATCTTGCTTCATGATTTATTTTCTTGGATGCACACCAGTCACTGAACCGTTTATAAAATTTTTCGTATTTGGTTTTTGATTTATCAGGGAACAATGAAGACACTAGGTTTGCAGCAGCTTCTTCTGTTTCAAAAGGCAAGCTTTCTGCTTCAGAATCACTCATTTCTCGATTGAACAACATTTTTTTTCTAAAAATTGACGAGTTGTTTACAACAAATTTGAGCGGTTGTCATAACACTGCAAAAATTCTCTTGATTCTTGATTTTTAATTAATAAAAAAATTTAATCGGCTTTTTTTCTTTTTCATTTTTGGGCAGTTGTAGATAAAGTTTTGTATTTCATACGTGGGCTAGAGCATATTACAGCAACTCGTGTGATTACAGATGACTCGGTCTAACGACCTCGTCTTCTGCAATCTTCACACTCGTAGTGCTGTAATAATGGCTCTATCCCACTAATAAGATAAATAACTATTTTTCTACTCATTAAGGTTGAAGTTTGTCATTTTCCCATCGCTGGCAGTGGATGAAATTTCATTTCACCCTCTAGTGGAAAAATACTCGGCCGTCTACGATTTTAACGGGTCGTCCAGCCTGAGCGTTTCGCAGCTAGCGAAACGTGTCGCGTATCGCCTGCACCGACCGCACCGTCCGCTTCGCGCGCTTCGAAAATCATGACGCCTAGGCTGGACGACCCGTTAGTGTTTGACGTTTAATACTGCTAGTTTACACAAGTGAAAACAATGAACATGAGTGAGACTGACGAAGTTTCTGAAGAAATTTTGAATGCTGCCAATGCGGCATTTTCGAATCTGATACAAGTGCAGTTATTGATACAGGAAGCAGCCAACTAAGTTTAAACAAAGATACAAGTTCAAATAATACTTACGATAAAAGTGTAAATATTATTGGTGATAATTGCACAAATTGTTCTATTACAGTTAATGTATTTCAAAAATAAAATACCTACCATAAACAAACATTTATTTCCTAATTTCTTAGAAAAAATAGTATATGCAACTCGCGGATGAAGAAATTTCAACGGCTCGAGTTTCTTTTTCGCACTCGCTCGTTGCACTCGCTCGTGTGAAAAAATCACTCTCGCCGTTGAAATTCAACTTCATCCACTAGTTCCATAATGTACTATTATTCCATTTTGACGAATTTTATTAATAAAATTTCAATAAATAAAAATTCGAATCGAGAAATCGTGTAAACTGCGAAACTAATTTTCGTGACAACCAGCTTAACAACCAGTTGTTTACATTTTTCTAAATTTGTGACACTTGCGGCATTTGTGTTTTCCTAGACAAAAATGTCTGGAATTTTGGAAGATAAAGACGAAAACGAAGTGTTTGTACCCTCAGCAGTCTTAGACGAAGCTTTGGAAGCTATCAATAAGGTGGTGCCAGCAAAATCCAAGCATTCATATGAAAAAGAGTATACGAATTTTTGTGAATGGAGGAAACGAAAGCATGCAAAAGGAGTAGATGAAAGAATAATTTTGGATTATATTTCGGAACGGTCAAAAAATGCTAAATCTTCATCACTATGGTCGTATTATTCCCAACTGAAGAAGATGTTATCTGTGAAGGAAAATATTGATATAAGCAGGTTTGTGACATTGCAATGATTAATATAAGGTTTAAAATATTCATTATTATAGATTTCATCAAGTGTCAGCTTTCCTAAAACAACAGTCTGTAGGGCACAGACCAAAGAAATCCAAAGTGTTCACGCTCGAAGAAATGGAAAGGTTTTTAGATAATGCTTCTGATGATGAATATGTACTGCAAAAAGTAATTTTTGTCGTGGGAGTTTTTGGAGGATGTAGAATGGGTGAATTGGTGGCCATGTCAGTTGATGATGTTGAAGACAGGGGTAGCGTACTTGTAGTCCAAATTCCAGACACGAAGACATTATTTTGCCCATTCATCGGAAATTTGATATAAATTTTAATAATTTGAATAATTGTAACTTTTATATTTCACACTACAATGAAAAAGACTAATTCAATGTTAATATTTTTGGAGAAGAAATAAAAATCTGTTCTTAATTGAAATTTTTTAATTCACTGAACGCTTTGATTCTATAGTATTTCCAGTGATAGATTCAACTATTTTAAATATCCATAGATCACAAAAGTCCCCAGAATTAAGCGCGCGAATTGTAGTTTGGTGAATTGCAGCCTTGAATTTTTTGACAAATGTCATTGAGGTTAGACGCGCATGCGTTGGTTTCAATCGTTTAAATTAAAAATTACATTTTTTCGGGTTTTTAGAATTCATGTTGAGCTTTAGATTTTTGTATTGGGTTACATTAATCGTATAGTGATGTGTTTATTATAATATTTGTAAGTTAAGTTAAAATTATGTTATCTGTGAACTAGTGTTGTGGGTAAATACAAACCTACCTAGACAAAAATATAAACTCCATAAACAATAACGATCTAATAATGAGTAATATTGCCCAGGTAAGTGTATGATGGCTTATTTAAAAGGCTTCATGTGTATATTTTTTAGGAAAACCAAATGAAGCTAAATTACTTAACAGTAATAGACAATACTGTGGCGCAAAAGATGATTGCAAATGCTTACGCTTTCTTCAAAAATAAAAATCTATGCTTGGGATCGCCAGCTGAGGTCAACAAATCGTGCAGTTGTATGCATGGTTTCTTATGGGTATTTGAATGTTTATAGATCACAGCTAAATGTCTCGGAATTAGTAGGAACCAAGTAATAAAGTATAAAAAATTTACTGATGCAACTGCAAGAAAAATAAAACGAAAACGTCCAAAAAAAGCAACATCTGACCTGGATCCAAACATCAAACGAGAAGTTCGTCTTGTATTGTACGATATGGTGCAAAACAGTAAGACTTACATCAAATTTAACTTTTCTGACCCAATTTTCTTCCAACTAGAATTTGAACTTAACTATTCTATAGATTCCCAGAGATTCAATTCAAATAGATACAATAAATTTTAATTACATTAAATTTGTTCTAGGAATTCATGTAAATTTGGATACTTTGGGAGCAGAATTATCAGCTAAATTTATCTACACATATAAAAGATCTAGTGTAGCACTTCTATTAAAGAATTTGGGATTTTCATACAAAAAAGATGATAACAGACGTGCTTTAATGGAAAAACCACATGTTGTAGCGCTGAGGAAAGTGTTTCTATCAAAATATATGGAGAATGTTAATTCTGCAGAGAAAAAACCTTTCATATATTTGGATGAAACTTGGGTATTTTCAAATGGAACCGTTAGGAGATCATGGCAGGATGAGGATCTACGTTCTGTCAAAAGAACTTCAGGAGACGGCTGTAGAGTATCTGCTGCACTGAGTTTAATTCAGGCTAATACAGGATCAATGCATTTATGTCTAATACTGAAGTTACCTCAAAACAATTTTAGGGAGATACATTATAATCAATGCTGGTAACGAAGAAGGATTTGTAGAAAATGCTTCTCTTATATTTAAAAGTAAAAACAACACTCTGGATTATCATCACGAAATGAACGCTGAAAATTTTGAAAAGTGGCTGCAAAACGATTTGTTACCAAAACTGGAAGAACCTAGTATAATAGTCTTAGACAACGCCAGTTACCATAGTCGACTTGAAGAAAAGCGCCCTACAACGGCGTGGAAAAAAGTTGATCTTCAATTGTGGCTGCAAAAGAACTGTATCGCATTTTCAGAGTTGCATAAAAAAGATACACTGTTAAAGCTATGTAAAGCTCATTATAAAAATCCAGTGTATCTAGTAGACAATATTATTACTGCAGCTGGTCATGATGTTTTACGTTTGCCTCCATACCATTGTATATTTAATCCCATAGAAATGGTATGGAGTCAAGCAAAACGTTTCTACGACAAAGACGTTTTAAAATCTAAAAACCCGCTTAATGCCTGGAACCGAGCCCTACAAAATGTAACACCGAAACAGTGGAAAAGCTATGTTAAACACACAGAAAATGTCATTAAAACCTATTGGAACAAAGAAAAGTTTGTAAAAGTTGTTACGATTTTTTTTGGAGTCGAGGGTGAAAGGGGCTTAGACGAAGTCTCGCTCGATGGTTTTAATCGGTCGTAGCGAACGCCTGTCACCGATCTCGACCTCTTTTTTTATTGCGGATTGTCGCCGGCAGCTCCGCCAAATTTTGAGTTTTTTTTGCCTCTACGAAGTAGTACTGGCGGGGACGGAGACGGCCAAGCGAGAGGTGGGGGTGCAAAGTGAGAGAAGAGTGAGAGTTGGTGCCGAGAAGAGGTGATTTGAGTTTGGCGAGGTTTGACCTGATGGTTTCCTTTCTTTTTTGAGAGTACTCAGTTCCATAGATTGATAGTGAGGCGTATCCCTTGTATAAGGTAAATTTCGTGCCTTTTGCCGCATGTAGGCTTATTGCTCCACCTGTAGGGTCCACGCCAGGGGCGAAGTTTCGGAGCCGTACAGAGGCGACGTAGAGGGCAGCGAAACGAGGGAAATTTGCTGGGCGTAGCGCCAGCTAGGAGACCCGGAGTTTTTGGATGATCGCGACGTCGAAGACGCGGACCTGGTGAGTTGAACATCGGGGGATCCAGGCCGCGGCAGGACTTGGTCAGCGCGTCGCCGTCGTCCTGTGGGAAGACTCCTGTTTTTTTGAGCTACGAGTAAAAGAACACGCCTTATCGCGATCGGAAATTTTCTTATCGTTTGTCGCCAGACCCAACCGTTTTTTTTGCGTCTCTCTCTTTCACTCTTTACATGCTTTTCAACGTTTTTTCAAATTTTCACGTACCCGCATAAATTTGATGGCGCCCAATTTTTTTTATTTGTGAAATAGTCAGCATTTCCTGTAACTAGCTAGTAGACCGTTGTTGCGTAGTAGTTCGTCAGTTCATTTGTTGTGGTAATTCGTTACTGACATTAGTTGTAGTTTTGTTACCTTTTACTAACCTAGATAATATTTTTTTTTGTACTAAAAGCCCTAAATATTTTAATTATTATACAGCTCGCCAAAATAATTAGCCTTTCATTCTGAATTAAAACCTCGGATCCACCTACCGGCTCTCCCGGAAGTGAGCACGGGCAAGTGTATCTTCCCTCGCTTTTATAGCAGAGACGACGTTTTAAGGTAACACAATTGGCGCTCAAACGTGGGGCGTTCTTAAAATTATTTTGGCTAGCTGGTGCGTTTTCGCGAATTGAAAGAGAGAGCAAACTATTGTTTGGCGATGGAAGCATTAGGAATTATTGTAGATTATCTGTCAGACTACGAGGTAGAATATGAGTTGCTTATTAGGCGTGTTAGGACTAGTAGGCCCGTGAAGGAAAAGCGGCGACTCTTAGAGCACGAGTTCCTCAAAGAAAAAAGTACTCCTCTTAATATCTGTGTGGAGAGTTTAGATTTTGAAACTGATCGGGGCGAAATTGAGACCACTTTGGAGTCAGTAACGACATTGATTTTGGAATTTGAGTCAGGATCCATCACCGACTCTCTTTGTCGGCGGATTGCGTCGCGATTGAACCATGTTCGTGGTCGTATTATGCGGATGCCTACTTCGGAGACAGACCTAGATACTACAAGGGGGGTGCGAGACGAGTTGTATGCGACATGTTTGACTTTGGAGGCGGATTTGCGAGATCGCATCGTCACTTCGCCCGGTTACAGTCCTTTATCTCTGCTTTGGGTTCCTAGCTCTCCTGGTTCTTCAAAGGAAAGCACATCGAAGGTAGTTCCGGTCTGCAAATGGGGCCTTACTTTTTCAGGGGAAGCTTCCGATGATTTGTGTGCGTTTCTTGAACGAGTTAAAGAATTAGCGGTTGCCAGGAACGTGTCTTCCCGTGATTTATTTCGTGATGCTGTAGATCTCTTTTCTGGTAATGCTCTTATATGGTACCGCTCTGTGCGTGATCGACTTTCGGACTGGAATTCCTTAGAAAAATCTCTCAAGAAAGACTTTCTACCTAGCGACTATGACGATGTGTTGTGGGCCCAGATTAGACAGCGGTTTCAGAGAAACGATGAACAGGTCGTTATTTATTTCGCGTTAATGGAATCCTACTTCGGTAGGTTGTCTGAGACCCCTCCTGAGGAAGTGAAAGTTCGGTGGCTACGACGTTTGATCCGGCCCGAGTACGTCACTCCGTTGGCGCTACACGATGTCGGGACGGTACAACAACTTCGTGACCTGTGTAAGAAGCTGGAATCATCCTCTCTTTCCCACCCCGTGTCGAGACAGATATCGAAAACCCCAATTTCTTCTGTAAGACCAGGGTTATCACTGGTGGATGCAGTAGGTCCTTCAGCGTCGCCTGAGAGTACGTCGTCAACTAGAGAGGAGTTAGATAAACCGAAGAATGAGGGCAAACATCGTTTCCGGAAAGCAGGTAGGCCTGCGAAAGTCAGTTCCCAGACTGAAGAACGAGTGAGGTGTTATAATTGCGGGGAACTTAATCATTTCCATGCGTATTGCACCCAGGAGCGTACGCGTTTTTGTTACAAGTGCGGGACTAAAGGTGTTATCACTGCGGACTGCACTAATTGTCAGCCAAAAAACTAGGTAGGGGCGCCGTTCCGGCTGGTCGTAACCACGCACCCCTTATCAAGACCAGCGAATCACCTCGACAGTGGACCCGTTGGCTCGATTTTGTCAGAGCTTTTTGTAGGTCGCCGACAATGACTCAACTTAATACGGTCTGCCTGGACAACAAGGACGATCATCGACCACGTATCGGGGTACGTCTCGGCCAGACAGCGTTGACCGCCCTTCTAGACTCGGGAGCTACTAAGTCTGTCATCGGTGCGAGATGTTCCTTCTTGTTAGACCACCCTCGCGTAGTAAAGCGCCAATCTAGGTATCGGTTTGTTCGCACTGCCGACAGACAACCACATGTTGTTGACTGTGAGTTGTCACTGGATGTTTTGTTTGATTCCGTCACCAGAAGTTTATCGGCTTTGTACGTTCCTTCCCTAGCGGTAGGATTGATCCTAGGGAATGATTTTTGTGATGAATTCGCGGTAAAAATAGATTATCTCACCCACACATGTAGTGCCCAGGTAAAATCGTTACCCCAAATATGCGCTCTTGGACCTGACACGGGGGTAGTAGATACCACTCATGAGGCCCGCATGATGAAGGTTATCACAATGTTTGGAGAAATTGGCGGCCCCGAATTAGGAAGAACAGATAAGCTGTCGTTGTCCATCGATACAGGCAACTCACCACCTTTTAAACAGTACCAATACCCTCTGTCACCCTATCTTCAAGGCATTTTGAACAAAGAGATTGACGAGATGATTAATCTTGGCGTCATTGAGCCGTCCCAGAGCCCATGGTGTTCGCCAGTGCTGCTAGTTAAGAAGAAGTCCGGGGAATATCGCTTTTGCTTTGACGGTCGGAAACTAAACAGCGTGACGAAGCACGACTCGTATCCGCTTCCCAGGATAGACCGGATCTTGAATCTTCTACGCGATGCGCGGTGGATCACTACTTTAGATTTGAAGAAGGCCTTCTGGCAGATTCCATTAGATGAAGCCTCAAAAGAGAAGACGGCTTTTGCGGTACACGGTCGAGGTCTTTTCCAATTTTGTGTTATGCCCTTTGGACTACGAAACTCCGCCCAGACCCAGCAGCGTTTGATGGATGCATTGTTTGGTCCACAGTTTGAACCAAACATCTTCGTTTACCTGGATGATCTCATTTTGGTCACCTCCACCTTTGAAGAACATTGTCGCCTGTTAGGGGAAATAAGAGGACGACTTAGAGAAGCCAAATTAACGATCAACGTTGAAAAAAGTAAATTTTTCCAAACCTCCCTCCGCTATCTTGGGTATGTCATTGACGCGGAAGGCCTGCGTACCGACCCCGAGAAGGTTTCCGCCATGTCCTCATATCCCCGTCCGAGGAATGCTACGGAGATCAAACGCTTCATGGGACTCTGTAGTTGGTATCGCCGCTTCATCCCCAATTTTTCGTCGCTGGTGTCTCCGATGAACGACCTGTTAAAAGGGAGGAAGAAGAAACAAGAAGTGTTGTGGGACGACCGAGCGGAGAAAGCTTTTACCGCCGTCAAGGAAGCTCTAATTGCAGCCCCAGTTTTGTCGCCTCCAGATTTTTCTCGGCCTTTTACAGTACAATGTGATGCTTCGGATACGGGTCTAGGTGGTGTGTTGACACAGGTAATTAACGGTGAGGAGAAGGTAATCTGCTTTGCGAGCCGATCGCTATCTAAAGCGGAGAGGAATTACTCGGTTACGGAGCGCGAGTGTTTAGCCGTCATTTTTAGCATAGAGAAGTTCCGGCCATATGTGGAGGGGTCGGAATTCACTGTCGTTACTGATCACCACTCGCTGCTATACTTATTTCGCATGGAAAACCCAACAGGTCGCCTCGCCAGATGGATCCTCAGATTACAACAATTCTCGTTTGAGATCGCACATCGTAAGGGACAATTTCATATCGTCCCCGACGCCCTGTCACGTAGTACACAGCCCCAGGAGGGAGGTCGATACCAAGAACCCGACGTCGCCCTTATCGACCTCGAACCGTGTGAGCGTGACCAGTGGTATCGTCGCATGCTACAGAGAGTAGTCGATCACGGCGACGTTTACTCGAACTGGGACGTCATCGATGGTAAACTGAGGAAGTTTATTCCGAGCAAAGCACCTTTGGAAGCCAACGAGAGGCAGTGGAAATTGGTGGTGCCGAAGTCTCGAAGAAGCGAAGTAATGAGGTCCTGTCATGACCCGCCAACGGCAGCACATTTTGGGGTCTACAAGACTCTTCAGAGAGCTCGAAGTGAGTATTATTGGCCCGGTATGCGCCGAGATGTGGGCAGGTATGTGAAAGGTTGCGGCCCGTGCGCGGCCCAGAAGATTCCCCGAGCTGCCCCGTTTGGTCTCCATGGCCGAGAAAAGATAGCGCGTTTTCCTTGGCAAATTATAGCCCTGGATTTCAAAGGTCCTTTCCCCCGTAGTCGTTCTGGCCATAAATACATTTTAGTGGTAGGTGATTGGTTTTCCAAATATACTCTTCTTCTGCCGATTAAGAGAGCCACTGCCCGTCCCGTCTTAAAGTTTCTAGAAGAAAAGGTTTTTCTCGTCTTCGGAGTAC